CACTCGCGACCCACCCCGCGACCCACCCGCGACCCACTTTCGACCCAAAGCACGTTCAATGCACAAACCACCGTTTTCGGCGCCTGCGGCGGGTTTTTTTTGCATTCCTTCCAGGTGGAGAGCCCGCGGCCCACCCGCGACCAACTCGCGACCAACCCGCGACCCAAACCACGTTCAGGGTACAAACCACATTTTTCGGCGCCTGCGGCGGGCATCTTTTGCATTCGTTTCAGGTGGAGAGCCCGCGGCCCACCCGCGACCATGTTCAGGGTACAAACCGAATTTTTCGGCGCCTGCGGCGGGCATCTTTTGCAGTCGTTCCCGGTGGAGAACCCGCGGCCCACCCGCGACCCAAACCACGTTCAGTGTACAAACCAAATGTTTCGGCGCCTGCGGCGGGCTGTTTTTACATTCCTTCTAGGTGGAGGGGGAGAGCCCGCGACCCACCCGCGACCAAAACCACGTTCACTGAACAAACCAATGCCGCACAAGCGCGGCGGCGGATTTTTGCATGCCGTCTGAGCCCGCAACGACCTCTTCAAGCCCCGCGCATCCACGCCAGCCCGTCCAGCAACTTTGCCCTGGCGAGTTGCCTTGATCAGAGAAGTCGGGGAGCATAAAATGGAAAAAAATGATTGCGTTGCCGTTATCTTGGGAAAGGGGGGGGAGGCAGGAGGAGTAAACAGGGGACGAGGAGGACGCGGAAGAAGAGAGGATGTAAGGAGAATGTGGAGAAAAAGGAGGAGGAGGAGCAGGAGGACGAGGAGGGGGAGGAGGGGGAGGAGGGGAAGGAGGAGGACGAGGAGGGGGAGGAGGGGGAGGAGGGGAGGAGGATAATGATGGACGACAATGGGAGGACGATGATGGAGGCCGGTGAGGGGGAGGACGACAATGGGATGATGATGATGATGATGATGATGATGATGATGATGATGATGATGATGATGATGATGATGATGATGATGATGGAAGGATGAGGTGGGGAGAGGGAGGACGAGGAAGAAGAGGAGGAGGACGATGACGATGAGGACGAGGACGAGGACGAGGAAGAGGAGGAGGAGAGGAGGAGGAGGAGGAGGAGGAGGAGGAGAGCGCCATCGACAGGGAAGGTGGGTGCCACGAGGTCCGCCGGCTCGACCACGCCCGCGTCGCCCACACCCGCCCCCTCACTCTTATCCGCAATTGCGGGGTACATACATAGTCGTAGTCGTTGCCGTAATCTCACTCGTAGTAATAGTAGTAGTTGTAGGTGTAGCAGCAGTAGTAGTAGGAGTAGTACTATAACGCCGTTGCAGAAGTTCGTCGCGTTTCATGGGGGCGTCAAGACGATGCAGTGTTTGTCCTGTACTTCCGCGCGAGCGTACGGGCGAAGGTTGACCCTTGTCCCGACCGCGCCAAGCTGCCCCCGTGCCCCCCCTTGGAATCCTACCGGACTGTGTCAAGAGCGGTCGGATCAAAGATCTTGGATTTCTACATGTGGGATTCTTCCAGTTATAAACATATTTATATATTTACACAAGCAATATTGCATTGGCGCTTCGCGCCGTGCATCTTGGTCCTGGAGGCTTGCACATGTTGGTCGTTCGCGCAATCTTTAGTGGGCTTCGAAAGTTGGCCCCTTCCCTGTGGTGGTTCTCAGACATTTTCGAGAGAGGCGCCTGGTGGAGGGCGAAGGATAGGAGGGGGGGATTCTCGGGGAACGAGTGAAAGAAACGGATGTGGGGGAGGACAAGTGGTAGAGCGGTAGGAGGAGGAGGAGGAGGAGGAGGAGGAGGAGGAGGAGGAGGAGGGCGCCGTCGGGGGACAACGAAGAATGTTGCAGCGGGTTGCAGCGGGTCGCAATGGGGCGCGAGCGCAAGTAAGTCTCAGGGAACGCACCCAATCCCGAGTTCGCGACAGATTTCCTGGATCTGTGGTTGCGGGCCCTTGATTCGGGTCAGTTTGGTGGAAAACTCCGTGTGGTCCTTGTTGGAGCCTTGGTGGGCCGGCTTGGGGCCGCCTCCAGCCGTCTTGGGGCCATCTTGGGCCGTGTTTGGGAGCTT